TTCGGGTTAACTTCGGATTGGCTTGGAAATACTCCTTGATTTCTTCCACTCAATACATTAGCTAGTTGGCCTACTTGCACCCCCAAATTCCGAATAGAAGCGCTCTGATTTTGAAATTGGGTTTTTGTTTCAGTCATAAATTGGGTGGTAGACGTAGTCAACTGAGTAAGCGCATCTTCCAAATTTACTTTCTTCTCTTGAGTTGGAAAGCCAGGTGGTGGTCTCTGCACATTCTGAGTATTGCTCCATGAAAAATTTGGATGGTTTCGCCAACCGGGGTTGTATGTATTGGAATAAGGATTATTTATTTGTCGATTAAATTCTCCAACCTGATTGACTTGCTCAACAGACGTGAATGGGTTCCCTGTGGTGCAATCTGAACTTGGATGAGGACCTGCACAAAAATCACAACCAAAATTAGTATTAGTGTTTATAGCATTAACACTCAAAGAATCAACTTTTTTAGTAAGGTTAGAAATTTTTGCTTTTAGCAAAGCCATAGCATCGACTTCCAAGACCCCAGCTGGCTTCGGATTCATTCTCTCACTCGGCCATTGGTAGTTGTTGGATGCCATGGTCTCCAATAATTCAAATGCTTCAGTAGCCGTTTTTGCCATTAAAGCCCCTCCAGCAGCTGCATCAACTAGTGTCCTGCTTGTTTGACTCAACCCATTGTAGAAAGTTTGAACTTGAATCCAGGTTGGTAGCTCATGGTGAGGGCACTTGCGCAACAAATCTTTGAATCGTTCCCAAGCTTCATATAAAGGCTCCTTATCATACTGAGCGAATGACATAATATCTTGTCGGAATTTTGCAGTTTTGGCTGGTGGGAAAAATTTAGCAAAGAATTTCTTGGATAAATCATCCCAAGTACGGATGGAGTCTTGTGGCTGTGACAGTAACCAAAGCTTGGCTTTATCCTTCAAGGAAAAGGGGAATAGCCTTAAACGAATCGCATCGTCAGATACCCCATTGAACTTGGATGTGTCACAAATCTCCAAAAATATCGCAAGATGTATATTTGGATCTTCATTCGGCAGACCACAAAATACGGATGAATTCTGTAGCATGGTGATCATGGCTGGCTTGATCTCAAAATTGTTGGCTGCAATAGAAGGACGTCGGATCGCTGAGGGAGTTGCCACTGGGGGGCCAAATTCCCTCACTGCTCTTTCAGCTTCATCTGCCATAAATGGGGGTGTCGGAAAAATCCAATGTACCTGAAAATAAAAAGAAAAATTCAAATTAAACTCCGAATTAAAATATATTGATATTAATAGAAAATAAAACAA